TTTTTAAACATCAGTGTGTTTAATTAAGGACAAACCACCCAAACTTCTACCTAGAAAATAGACTCACACATTTTCAATGTTCATAAACTTGACATGATTGCAATATTAAAAATTTGACTTTTTGTCCTTCAGAACTGTGCTTCAGAGACTGGGCTGATATCTCCACAGGTGAAAAACCTCTAGGAGAATAAACAAGTTTAGAGTAGACTAGACTCACAGAGTCAATACTACTCTTTTTTTTTTTGGTCTTGGAGTTCTTTCCACTCCTGCATACAACAGATACAAAACAGGACAGACAGTGTTCTGAGTTCACTCTTTTTTGAAAGACAGTCTTAGCTTATATTTGACATGAAATTTGTCTTTCGTAACCTACCTGCCTCCACTAGCAATTGAATGAAGATTTACAGAAGTGTCAACAGCCCCTTTATGGATGCAGAGTCCATTGTCACATCCTTTGTGGTGACCACAAGCAGCTCACGCTCCCTCCTTGCAATTCTGCAATACAGAGGTCATGGTGGGATCAAGACCTTAATCTGAAAGGAGTAAGTAAAGGAAGACCTAGAGGGTCTGCATTTGAATGGTACCGGTACTAGGAATCTCCTTAATATTTACTGTCGCTCATCTGTTCACTGCTAGGTGGAAAGGTACATTCACTCCGCAGATCACAAAGTCACGTAGTGCCATAGGTAGTGATTCAGGAATGACTCTCTCTTGATTTCCAGGCAGTGTGTTTTTTTCTGTCAGCTCAATAAAATGAGATTTTTTGCAGAGGGGCTCTATAAAAGTCACTTAGACAGGCAATGGCCTTTTTTACAAAAGGCCGCAATAATATAATGCTAGAAAAAAGAAAGACAAAGAAGAATCGTAGAATGGTTTGAGCTGTCCTCATGGTAGAGGTGTTCCAGCCCCTGGATCATCTTCATGGCCTTCCCAGGACAAGTCCGTGTCCTTGTGTTGAGGGCCCTAGAGGGCTGCTCCATGTACTCCAGGTGGTCACTGATAGAGAGGATGACATCCTCACCTTGTCTCCCCTGCCTATCCTTCCAGTCTTTTGCTGTCTAGCTTCTTTATTTTAGTTGTAATCTGCAGAGAGAAGTTAGGGAGAAAAAAAGGAGGGGGGAGAATGTAGCTGAATGCAGCTTAATAATGAAAGAAATTGCTGAAATAGCATCAGAAAGTTCGTTAAAATGCAAAACTTCTTGCTGATCTGCTACACAGAACAGAAAATAAACCCCAGTCACTTAGAGGTGGTGGCTAAGCAGGTTTCCCTTCATCATCTCTCAATTCTTCTGATGCCAGAGATAAAAAGCACTTTCAGAGGGAAGATATTTTCACTGTAAAAGCATAAATACTACAGGAGATGAGAGGCAGATCACTGTTCACAGAGTCTCCAGCTTCTATTAAAAACTTCCTTAAACTATTGTGGGCAAGACTCACAGATGAGAGCTGGTCACTGTACTGTTCAGTGACCTTCCACAAGCATTGCAAAACCCCGTAGAAAAACAGAGAAAAATGCTTATACAAATACACCTTTATAATAAAAATAGAATTTGAGTTCTATTATGATCCAATTTAATTTATTACTCCTTTTAATCTGCTTTCTGTCCTTTCTCCACGATTCCCTGAGACAGTGTTTTAGGTTGCCCCTACCAGTCCTGTGTTTCTATCTCTTTTAACCCTGTAGGAGAACAGATCAAAATAGTTTTGCCAAGTCTACATGGAATAACTCCAAAACCAAGTTGACTGTGATGTTATTTTCATCTGAGTTTATCTGAGCTAAGGGGGGCTGTTGCACCACATAACCTCTACCCTGTTTTTTATGAGGGGCATCGGCTTAGCAAATCAGCCCTCGCATGTGGCTTGCTGATGTTGTAAAGTGCAGCAGGACCAGTACAGCCGGGTTTGTTCTCCGAGGCCAAGCGAGTGACACTGTGAGAGACAGGGGCAAGGGAAGCAAACCCACGTGCTCTCTTTCTGCTAGCCTGCTATACTAAGCTTAGCTTAGCTGTGTTGCTTACAGAAGCTGTAGACTATGGGATAGCTTTAACTGAATGTTTCTTGAGGAGGAATATCCTTAATCAATGTGCATATGGACAGCACATACACGTTGTGAATTGTTCTCAGAGATACTTTCTGCCTTTCATCCTCTGTGCAACACTAAGTCTGTTGCCTTTCTTTGTCAAAAGCAATCAGTGTTGCTTCAAGAATGGATACCTGAAAGCACAATCATTAAAATGCTTACAGCAATCTGATACAAAACGGGCTTTGCGCCTCCTGTACTCTGTGTGCTACCTCTGTCAGAAGTACAGAAACAGAAGAAAGAGCATGTGTAAGGACATTAGCATTGCTTGTACTTGGTGAAAAGAGTGATATTTTGCTTAATGCAACTCATAATGGCCTGCCACTATTGCTGATGCATGCCCAGTGATAAATATTAACCTGTAGCAATTTTAAAGGCTGTGTGGTAGCTACAGCAGCCACCTCCTTAGGTTGCTGTATATATTTGTTTAGCCATTTGTTTGTCGCATATCCATGAAGGCATATAGCAGTTTTGCAAATACAGATGGAGATTGGATCTCAGCCCAGAACCGTTTAGGAATTGCAGTTTTGGTACTATTGTTACTGTGTTTTTTTCCCTGACAGTCGCATTTGTTCTGTTACTGACAATAGTGGGCTTTAGATAAATCATACATCTAGACCAGATCTGGTCAGTCTGAAGTCAAGTGTGTTATCAGCCATCTTTTATCAGCTAGTGCATGTGGTTTACTACGTGCATAAATAAGTAACTTGTACAATTAACTCAGAAAGTTCATCCATTTGTCTGTGGGATTAATTCCGTAGAAATGAATGGAATGGAACTAGTTTCAGAATGGCAGTGGCTACTGCTCCCAGCAGAATTGAATTAGATCTTGTAACAACTCCCCTGAAAGTTGCTCCTCAAATGAAGACAGGGCTAAGGAAAGAAGAGCCATACCTGAGGCTGCTTTGTCTCGTGTTCCACACGTGAGGTCTTCTGCCCCAGGCACTCTCACTGCTTCCCATTTGGCTCTAGAAGTTGCTCTGTGCTCCAAGTGCAATGCAGTTCTCTGACTGTTGCTGACCAAGGCTCCCTGGGTTGAGGTGTTTACATCAGTGAGGGAAAATGGGCAGAAGGAGTTGACTTCCCTGAGATTACAGGGGATAACAGAAATTCAAGTGTGTCAGCCAGGACTTCCTTGTACCCTGAAGCTGATTGAGGGTGTTATGCCGTAGGTAACATCCATATGTGGTATATTACTTAGATGTGAATTTCTTTTAACTTCAGCCACCTGAGAATTAGGGTGAAGCTGATGCAATGGCACCACAGAAAGAAACAGCAGCCCATCTAGGAAAGAGTTCTGAATTACTGCATATATTATATTATGCACCTGTGTTCCATAGTACTTTTAGATTAGATCCAACAGTCATTCTGAAAGAGCCTAGAGTGAACTAAACCCCTTTCTGTGTTGCTATTCAAGTTAACACCTGTGAAAACAGGGCATGCCTTTTCATAGTGGTAAAGTGAAGAAATTTCTGTCACCTTCAGACTTTTAAACCTCTCTTCGAGGGTCTGAGGAAGAAGCCTGAACAGACAGATGGGACAGGTGTTGTAGTACATAGTACTGTTTTCAGTTAACAGAGCCCAATCACAGCATAACCCTCTTAGGGAATGAGTCACAGAAATGTTTGTGTTATGTTCTCTGAAGTTTCCTTTTGCAATCTCACCATCAAATGTTTCACCAGAATGTAAGCCGTGCCTAAACCTGACAGAAGATAAAAATGGGGAAACAGTTTAGCTCTGTCTGCGGTCACAGAGGACATCCATCTGTTTGATTAGCCTGGGGACATAACCATTTCCAGCTGATAATCTTAATTTGAATAAAATTATATTGGGAGTGGGAGTGAGGATAAAAGGGAGCAGATGATAATATAAATATATGTTCAGGGGGGAGATAGGTTGCCACCACTAACGATACTCATTATGGGTGATGAAATAGAATTCTAATGGGAGAGGAGCAAGAGCAGGAGTTGAAGAGATCTGCTGGGTTTACCGCTAATTTCTGCAGACATACCAGCTCATTTAGTAATGTAACAGCTCCCACTGCTATCCACTTAATGTATGATTAATGTGCCACAGGATTTCCCCAGACATTTATAACACCTTTAGGAATAGATATGACAATGACTTTATCACTCATACTATCCTGCATCCCTCTTAATGATTTATATATTCAGGACTGATTTTATCACTAGTACTCAGCAACATAATAAATGAGAAAACTCAATGGTCCGTAAATTACAACATTGATTAAAGATGTGATTACTAATATAACTCTTACATGACTATGATAATGCTTGCTTTTATTCAGAACGGCATTTACATGTTAATGATAAATCTACTGCAGTGTTTAGAAATACTTTACAGCTTTAATCAAAATATAAACATTTATAAAGAGATAGCATTTATTGCGGAGGAAATGAGTAGACTTCTGTTACTCTTTAGTGGATGAAATCCACTCCAGAGCCAGCTTTGTCTTGATGATAGAAAGCAGCATGACCCTCTGATGAAGGTACTCATCAGGGTAGAGCTTTGATTTGCTGCTTGCCTCTGTCGAGACTGAGCTCGGTTTGTTGGGTTCCTCCTGACCAGCCCATGAAGGAGCCTTGCTCATTATAAAGTCCACAGCAGTGTGACTGCCTAGTGGCTCACTGCATGACAAACAGAAAATCAGCTACCAACTTCACAAATAGTATCCAGTCTTTAGGCATCTCCAGCATAATTATCCCTCCTGAGCCAATGCAGGATTTTTGTGTTCAGCTGCTCCCATTGTAAAAGGCCATCATTAACACGCATGAAAAGATAGGAGCCTTTTTTGTTTGGATCTGATTTTGACATGCCAGGGTTACACTTTGAGCTTGTTTTGTTGCAGTCGTTACCTTTTCTTCTTTCTTTCTGTATTTCTTCCCCCCCTCCCCCTTAGGTTTCTGACAGATGTGACTATGTTTTTGTCAATGGCAAAGAAATGAAAGGCAAGGTGAATGCACTGGTGAACTTTACGTATCAGTATCTGAGTGCCCCTCTGCAAATCACAGTGTGGGTTCCACGCCTGCCTCTTCAGATCGACATTTCGGATACAGAGCTAAGCCAAATAAAAGGCTGGCGAGTCCCAGTTGTTTCCAACAAAAGGTAAGTTTGAATCGCTAAATTTTAGTTGTTATTGTAAAATTGGAAGGTGTTGATTTTAACTATCAGCCAGAACAGCTGCAGCACCTGCACCCAAAATGCAGCATCTTTCCCTGAGGAACAGCGGTACTGGAATCCTCAGCTTTGCACCAGACATCTGCAGATATACTAAAGCTTTTAAAATCTGTGGATTTTGCTTCTGTGCCTGTGCCTGTCCTGTGCAACAGAGTGCAGTGTGGTCCCCTGGTAAGGTCCACTTACGAAGTTGTTGTTTGGACATACCAGCTTAGATGAAAAAGTGCTATAGTCCTTTTGTAGGCCCTTCATGCTAGGCAGCCATAAATCAGCCATGGTCTAAAAAAAAAACCAGAAAGGAGGGCTGTTATTTAAGGGGATGCTCTCCATTAGCACTCTAATGTTAGTTTTCACTAATGTTCTTAAAAACATTTCTTTCTACTTCACTTTCTTATGAAAAAAGACCCACCAGAGACAGTGATGATGAGGATGAAGATGAGCGGAAAGGACGAGGATGCACTCTGCAGTACCAGCACGCCATGGTGCGAGTCCTCACCCAGTTCGTAGCCGAGGATTCCAGCCCTTGGGGTCAGCTGAGCTACTTGCTGGGCTCAGACTGGCAGTTTGACATTACAGACCTGGTGATGGATTTTATGAAACTGGAGGATCCTCACATTGCCAAGCTGCAGGAAGGCAGGATTTTGATTGGACGGGAAGTAGGAATGACAACGATGCAGGTACTGTGCTCTAGACTGCCACATTCCGCCATTCCCGTAGGGAATCTTGCATTCTGTTGTCTTGAAAGAGGATAATTTCCCATTACGTTCCAGTGACCTTCTAGAGTCACACAGAGCATTAACCCAGCAACAGTCATCTGTGCTGGAGGTTGTCCCAGACATGCAGCATGGCCAGGAGCTGGAAGCCTTCAGAGATGTCTAGGAGAGGCAGCATTTCCACACTCAGTGAGAAGTCAAGCTCCTGCTCTGCTCTGGTAGGGGGGTTGGCCTAGATGATCTTTCAAGGTCCCTTCCAACCCCTAACATTCTGTGGTTCTGTGATGCAGCTTACCACCAGTCAGCTGATGGACACCATTGTGACTTTTTGAGGCAGACGTCTTTAGATTGTGCCAAGTTGCTTTTGATTTATTTAAACATTAGTTCAGGATAAAAAACCTACAACATGCCCTGAAAAGCACAAATGGCCAGCACTATATCCCAGCTCTGCCCCAGCTGAATCCTTACTAAAACCAATGTTTAAAGAGTGAACATAGCTAGTCTAGGCTGTAGATGTGAAATGAAGAAGGTGGAGAGGACTGTATGTGCATGAAATAGATATCCTATCTTTGTTCCCTAAAGATAGCAGGATGGCCCTTAGTTTCATTAAAGAATATCCTACTACCTTGATGCTCCATCAGAAACAGAAAAAATAGATAAATGAGAAATTCGAAGCAAAGAAGTGAAGGACAACTCCCTAGATGTTGTTACCTTCCCTTTGAAATTGTTGGGAAGTCTGATGAGCTCATCTGTACTGGGACACAGTAAAACAGGGAAAGAAGGTTTTAAATCAACTCTTCTAGTGAAATTATGCAAATAACACAACTGAGATAGCCTAGCTCTCTGTATCGGATGGAATGTTCTCAACCATAACCTCTCTCCTGAATGTTTTCCCGGCCCTGCTAATGAAATCAGACTGCCTTTTCAGTGTAGTCTGCCTTCTCATTTCTATGCATAAAGCTCCGGAGACAAGAAGGGATGATGACCTTAAGAAAGGTTATTTTAATTGATCAGCCTTTTCCTAAGTTGATTCTTTTGTGTTTCTCCAAAGGTTTTGTCTCCTCTGTCTGACTCCATCCTGGCAGAGAAGACAGTGACTGTGCTAGATGACAAAGTGACTATTACAGACCTTGGAGTCCAGCTGGTAGCTGGGCTTTCACTCTTTCTTCAGCCAAATGCAGCAAGTAGTCGGGCTATTGTGGCTACAACCATCGCCCAGGAGTTGCTTCATACTCCTAAGCAGGTAATGTACGCTGTATTTACTGTTGTTGCCTTTTGGGATGGGTCAGTGTTTTATCAACGTGAAGTACAGATGACCGTTCAGAACAAGTTCAGCAGTCAGACTTTAAAGGAGAGGTATAGTAGATATCCGTGGCAATTGCTTTCCTTTAGAGGTATGCTGGAATTGTCTTCTCATTTCTTCCCTTCAGATATTGACTTAATCTGCAGTAAAAGTTCTGACTGCATTGAAGTTTGTATTATTTGCATTTTTAATGTTCTTTCTTTAAATGATGCAACATCTGTTATTTTTGCAACACAGGCAGTCTTTGGTCAGTGATCCTTGTTTGCTGTATGAGCATGCCCTTGTTTTCCATGCCAGAGAGCACAGAGCTTGGTGTGTCACAACAATTTAATAGTTTGAAGAGCTATAAAATAGAGGCAGAAGATAGCCAAACACATTTCTTTTCCCTCCTGGAGTCACGGCAGACTGCCAGGCTCATCACTCCTTTTATTTTTCAGATGGATTTTGGGGGGTTCATCATTCAGTTCATGTACTGATACTACTTAATTTAAGCCAGCAAATTCCCATCTCTGTGAAGGGAGTCTTTCAAGCAGCATGGTTCAGGTTGCAGCCCACATGGAAGAGAAGATTGGAGAGCACCACCAGATGAAGGCAAACAGTTGCGCTGGAACAGATTAAGAACAAGGGTCAGTAGCAGTGGAACAAGCTGTATGTTCACTGCTCTTTCAGTCAGCTCAAGTGTGGGACTGGGGACCATGCAATTAAGTCTGTCCACAGCTACTCCTCTCACAGAAACTGTATGTCATCTCGCATAGAGGGAGATCTCAAATCAAGTTTTATGGCCCATTTTCATGATTATTGCTACCTAGTTTTCTAGAACATAAAAATAATTGTGATTGTTTTATAACTTAGTGACAGGAAAATGTCCAAACTGGAAGGACATGCAGCCCATCTGTTCCATTTACTGCATCCTGTAAACATAAGAATCTTATGTAATTAACCCGTTTGTACCCTTCTCCAGGGCTTAGAAACCACGTCTGACATATTGTCTTCAGCCAAAGACTGTAAAAGCAAAAGCTAGAGCTTGCCTAACCCAACTGTGTTATGTAGGACAGAGCACCATTTGTCCGGCAGCATCATTGGAAGAATCATGGCTTTGGTTGCAGATAAAAGAGCTTGTGAATCTGAAAAGGTTGCTCAGATTTATAGATGATCTGTCCCGACTATGCAAAGATATTTATCACCATCAGGTTATGGCGTATGATGACAGGGCATTTCAGTAAGTGCACAACACGGCATCTCCTGTCGGGCTGTGGCAAGGCAATATGACATGGCATGTCAGTATATATCACTACAATTGGCAAGTTGCGAAATAATACAGAAGAGTAAACATGGTTTGTTTTGAACTTGTTTTGCCCAACATCTGTGTAATGGAACAATTTTAGTGAAATATTTTGTTTCCTCAGAGTGACACATTTCTGATACAGAAGTGACTGGGCATATCAGGCTCAGGTTCTGAGCGGTGCCTTCTGCTCGGGGTGCCGCTGTCCCTGCTGTGTCCTCTTCCTGGGACTGCAGACTGCAGATAGCGCCTCGGTATCATGCTCCCTGAAGATACCGACTGTAGAACAGGAGGCGTAAGAAAATCAAGCACCTTTTTTTCCTCAGTAAAAGAAGTTTAAAATCTGTTGTTTCTTCTCCAAACTCCATCTGGAAAAAAAAGCCCAGGACCTAGACTGTCTTAAAAGGCAGTGGAAAACCTTCTTTACGTCAAGATCTGGAATGCCCAAGGAAATCTGGTTGCTTAGTGGCAGTCCCAAGTGAGTCAGTTTTGCCCACTCGTTCTGTGCAGGATGCCTTCTGTCCCAGTTTCCTGCAAACACAGAGCAGCATGTTCTGGTGGGGCCCCACTTCAGTCTCTGCCTCTCCTCCCAGCTCCTCCAGCGTGGAGCCTGCCCATCTGCCTGGCCTCTGCTTGTAATCTCACCACGTCCTCTTCACCAGGAGTAAGAGAAGTGTTGTCCTGCCTGCTTCGCAGCTGATGGCTGTGCTGGGAGCATCGCTCCTCCCTTTGGGGAGTTTGTGAGGGTTGGTTCCTGCTCAAGCACTGTGAGTGTTTGTGGTCCTGATCCTGGTGCTGCTGGGTCAGTGGGGATCCTGGTCCCTGGTTACTGGGGCACTTTGGCAGTGCCTTCATCCCAGAAGCCTGAGCTAATTCCACACGCTGTATAATTTACTTCCTACCTTCTTGTAAGCCACTCATTTGTTCTCAGCCTATAAATCTTACTCAGCCTATAGGCAGGGCTTGCCCAAGGAAGGACTGTTGAAAAGAGGACCTAGTGACATTGTATTTGCATCACCAAAAAAATATGATGGGAAGAGATTTGACACTAGAAAATACTTTGAAGGAAATAGTCTTATCATGGGAGTGGCCTGTGGAGTCACATACGTCTTTTCCTTTCATTTGCAATTTGAATTAAGGATGTAATATTTAAGTCACTTGCCCTTAGAAGAATTAATCTTGTGGCTGAATTTTGCAAGAAGTGACTCATGATCAGCTGAGATCCTTACTGAGCTGCAATTTCAGAAGGCAAGTCTTTCCTGAAAATCAAGCCCTTTTGAAAAAGAAGGTTTTTTAAAGGGGATAACCAAGAACTAAGCATATATTTGAATGTTGCAAGGACTTTGTTATTTGTGTCTTTTGCTCTCAAATTTATAAAAAGGCCCCAATAACTCACACAAGCCTTACTGATGCAACTGAGAAACAGAACAGCAAAGATAGCTGAAGGTTTTATTTTTCTTAGGAATAATTGTGTGTGTCTCAGCATTGTTACATGGAAAAAACAATCAATGTGTTCTTAGTCAAGTGTTTTTCTTGGCTTGACTTTGGCACCTTCAGTAACCAAGCTTCAGCATAGTTTAGCAAATGTCCTTGGGTAATTGGTGCTCGGGCAGGCACAATATTGTCCCTAGCAGATGAAGCAGCACATCTGTAGAGTGCAGTGGAGAGCATAAAACATTTTACAGATCATGCTATTACAGATCTTTCAATACCATAGGAATGAATTTGGTATTTTTGCTGAGACTTTCTTTCAATGAATACAGTGACTAGATTAGGTCTTTGATTATAATGACCACACCTTGCATAAGCAGGACAAAGCAGCCAAAACGCAAGCCCTGAAAAGTTGGCAATTTCTCCAAATAGCAATCTAAAGAAGATAAGCTAAATTTTTTTTATCTTGGATGCCTTAAGTTAGGTATCTTTATCTGCAGGTAAGTAACTAATTACCTCAGGTGACAAGGTGACCTTGAGGGATGCTGACCCATACTTCCTTTTTTTCAATCAATGGGGAGCTCATTGGCACTGAAAAGGGAATCAATGATTTAGGTGCCTAAAAATAAATGGAGATTGACCAACTTGCACTTATCAAAGTTGAAGTATCTTCTGAAAATTTGGAAACTGCAGCTGAGAGCCATCTATTTTTAGTGGCCATCTGCTCAGGTAGGAAAGCTGTTCCATTTGGCTTGCTGACGGTTGTTAAAATCAACGCTGCCATCTTAAAGCCTTCTCCAAAATGTAAAGAAAAGAAAACCTAAAGTGTTTTCTGATCTGAGTGAGCTTCAAGGACTCTTACATTTCATCTGGCTCTGCAGGGAAACTCACAGACATACAGCTTTTTCGTCACTGTAGGATACTGCATGTGTTCTACTGAACTGAAATGGGAGTGTGAAGAAAGAAAAAAGAAGGCCTTTAATAAACAGCTGTGTGTATTAATATTTCTCTGTGCTGCTGGAAAACTACAGACATTTTCTTAGGGAAAAAGAACAATATTAGCACTTTCTAAAGGCCAAGTTCTTCTTCACACATGTAGCTCCTGTTGACATCAGTGACAAGATCCAACCCTGTGAGGTCATCTGGAACCTCCAGGAGTGTCCTCAAAGATGTCCCCTGTCACTGTGATGGGAGGTGAGGGTGCCCAGCACCACCTGAATCAGGGCTACAAGCTGGAGTTACTTGCATATCCCTGCCTCTTGGATTGACATGATACTGTCCTGTTTTAGCTTCTGTCCTTCATGCAAACTAGTTACGAGAGATCACTGACATCTCACAGTTAAGTAATGGATATCAAGAATATTTTTATGGCAGTATAAATTACACTTAGATTGTATTTATATGTCTTCTTCAAAATGACAGAGCAATGTAATGGCTCACAAGTATGAGAAAGGAATTAATCAGCATGGGAAAGGGAGAAAGGATGTATTGTTGTATGAGAATTTGAATCCTTCCCTTGCAAATACAAGCAAATTCCCACTGGAAAGGAATGTCACATTAGCAGATTGGACAAAAAGGAGAGAAAGAAATACACAGTAGGGGAATGCATGGTTTGAATTAAGAACTGAGTCTTGGCTGCCTTTCATTTCCACATCATAACCATCAAGCCCAATTTTTGCTACACAAGCTACAGGCTTAAAAATAAATGCACATATAATACTTTTATGTTTCATGTGATAAAATGTCTGGGGAAAACCATTTCAGCATTGAAGTCCCCAGATAGAACAATCAGGGCTGGTTTAATAGAAGCTGCTGAGAACAGTATTCCCTTGCCTTTATTTGAGGGAGGGATGTATTTGTTTTCTGCAGAGCCATCCAGCCATCCATTTCTTTCCTTTGGTGTCCTGCCTCACTCCAGGACTATTGCAGCTGATTCCAGCAATTGAGGGCTTATTCACAAATACTTTTATTTGTGTTTTAGTGAATGAAGACCATTGAAAGGCCTCTTTTTTCTGAGCATGGAAAAAAATCAAATACACGGATCAGTCCTCAGACCTGTGCTTCTAAGCAGCAGAATTTTCTAAAATGCAACCAGTCCTACATGTTTTACTCCCCTATTTTTTGCTTGGAGAATACAAGATAGCATGCCCTGGTGTCAAGCTGACTCCAGCTTTTTGGAGGAGCTATTGAAGGGCACTTTATAATCACTGTGATGCTACAGAAGGGCTCAGTGGAATATCCTAAGAGAAGCAGACTTTCAAATGCTCTATGACGCTTTAAAGTGTAAAATAATCATCACTGTGGCTCACAGATTTTCACGGGCAACTCACGCGAGTCCCAGCACTGAGAGACTTGTTAGATCTCTTTATGATGGACTTTCTGCTGAGCTTCCAAACCAGCCCTGATCCCTGCACTGCGGTTGCCTTTTGGAATGTGAGCTTCCTGGATTTATCTAGGTGGAAGAGACATAGGCAGCCAGCAATGGTGGTTGTGGTGATGCATAGGCAGAGTTTGAAGTATTCAAGGTTGGACAGAACGGAGTTCCTTGGGGACTGTTGGTTTTCGTTAGTGCCATGTTACTTCTGTAGCCTGGTCATATTTCCCCTTTGCTTTACCCACCTGAACATAAGTGAGTAACAAGGGAGATAAAACTGCTAACAAAAAGCGAAATGCAAGTTTATCCAAAAAGATTTAACAAGTGGTATCGTTGGATGATAAGCGGCAATGTAATTCAAGGCCAGAAAAGGTGATGGAATTGCAACAGATCAAGAAGTGGCCAACTTGCTGAACATGTGCTTGGAATGGAGGGAGAGAACAGCGAAGGCATAAGGGAAAATGTAGACAAAATGTGTTGTGATAAATCAGTTGTGATTTAGATTAGATTTTAGGAAGAAATTCTTCAGCACGAGAGTGGCAAGACTTTGGAACAAATTGCCCAGAGATGTGGTGGCTGCCCCCTCCCTGGAGGTGTTCAAGGCCAAGTTGGACAGAGCCTTGAGTAGCCTGATCTAGTTGAGAGGCGTCCCTGCCCATGACAGGGAGGTTGGATCAGATGGTCTCTAAGGTCCCTTCCAGCCCTGGCCATTCTATGATTCTGTGAAAGGAAGATTTTGATGTGCTTAAGGAAAGCATGATATTTGATTATCAGCAGTGGATGTAGGAAGCAGTTTCATCATCTCCTCTGGACTGGATTTTGCTGTGCTTAGCATGATCTAATGTACGTTATCTGACTCACCTCGCATCATCACAGTCACCATACAAATCATCCTGTTCTGTAAGAGATGCTGGCAAAAGCGTGTAGTTGTGCTTCATTTGTTCTGGGAGTGCAACGGAGTGTGTGTGTGTGTGTGTGTCTGTATATGTATGCAGATGTAGAAGAGAGTAAAAGTGGAGGAAAGAAGGTCTGGGCAGCCAGCTAATCCCTCAGATTATTTGTTTACGCTTGATAATTAACAAACATAAGCATTTGTCACCTCAGTGTTCAGGGCATCAGACTAGGGGCAGCAACTTTGCATGTAAGAAGGCTCCAATTCGTCTTCGTGTGCTGATAGTAATTGGAGGACCTTGTCAGAGATTTGGAGGGGATTTATTGATGCAGTACATAGGATGTGCAGAAACAGCTCGTTGGAGGACATGGTACTAAATCATTTCTTTTTTTCTTTCTTTTTTTCTTTTTAGCTTTTCAGAATTTATAATCATTTGGGAAGTTCACTTCCTTCCCCTTCCTTCAACATTCCTTTAACAATGTGAAAGAGAGGAGATGCTCTCTTGCCAAATAGAATATTTGGGCTTATATAATAGACTTTGGTAGAATTTGAAATTCTATCCCTCTTTCTCTCATTTGTGTTCTTTTCCTTTTAATTAACGTTGTCCATAGTATAAGCATAACAATGCTATGTTGTGAAAAAATTCGTTCTTTCTGTGAAAAAGGAGTCTTTCAGAAATAAAAATTGTCAATGCTGGTTGAAAAAAATGGCTACACCTCTGTTAACTGTAGTAAATCACATGTGTGACTCCAAATTGCAGTGGACTACCATTTCATTTTTCTCCATCTCTGCTTCATAAAACCAAGAATGCAGAATAGAGGAGAAATAGCATAAAGAATAAAAGTTGGTTTGAAGTTGCTTGCAACTTTGTCAAATTCTAGCCATTTGGCTGAATTTTTTCCATGCTGCTACCTCTTAACCTGAAATATGTCTGAGGGCTGTTAAAGCAGAAAGACGTCAAGAAAACTAAATAGGAATGTGGCTGTCTTGAAGAAGACAGGAAAGAATATATGGCCCCTCATACGTGTTCCTCTACAGTGTCTGGACGGAGACCCTGGATCCCTCAGAGATGCTGTTCTTGCAGCAGTAAAATCTCCCTGCATAACCAGATCTGGGGCTCTGTAGTACTGGGGATGCTGTGTTTGGATTTAGTGAATTTTTTTGTAGAGATGGAGGTGCCCAGCAGAGATGGGAGGAGTCACAGGCCTCATCATTTCCAACCTTAACTGTAAAAATTCTGCACTCATTTCCTCATTCTGCTCTCTGAAACAGCACTGCTGGCAGACAGTGTCAAGCCTGTTGTGATATGTGCTTGAAATCATGTCGGTGCTTTTTCCTTCTGTAGGCTGGTGAAAAGTGAGTGTATCTTACACATCTCCCTGATGGTACACAAGGCTGTCCTCTTGCTTTAGGGAGAAGGGAGGCAACAGGGTGTTGAATTGCTGCAGGAGACACATCTTCTTTCTAACATATCCATTTAAAAAAAGAAATCCTTTACTTTCCCATGACTGGATTTGCTCTGCTATAGATCTCTATGATATAGATTTAATCTGTGCCTTGCAGCTTTATGTTTCTGTCTCTTCAGCCATTTCAGGGCTCTCTAACAAAAGATCAGCTGTTTTAATTTCCTTACTCAGTTCACCCTTCCGAGCTTCTGAGCTACCCTGGCTGCATTTCAGCTGTTTGAAGTGCATTTGAATCACTGAGAACTTTGCCTTCTTTCCTGTTGTGCCACAACTTATTTTTCTTCTTCCAGTCCCTCAAGAACTTGCTGATAGCACTTTGGAAATCAAATATTCATTATAGTCCAACCTTCTGCACAGCTAAATGCCCCTTGCTGTTTTCATTGAAAAGCTTTAAATTTAACTAGAAGGGTACCAATTCCCTTTTTTTTATAACCATAGCATAAGAAATTGTAGCCAATTGAAAACCATATTAGGTTGTAAATTTGTACTATGACTGGATGTTAACAGGGTGGCAATGCTTTTCCCCAGTGGTGATTTTCAGCCCAGTTGTTCTGATGTACCCAAGTGTAAAGTTATTAGGGGCATCTGCGGTTTTAATCTGGGAAGAAAAGAACTTCAGTTTTGTGTGAAGTTGCACTCGGGCAATCTGCCCACACGTCTGCTGGCTAAACAGGCAAGACATAGAGCAAATGAAAAAAATAAAGAAACCTCCTGCAAAGAAAGCTACTGAGATGTGGAGAAGTAAATATCTATATCATCTGGATGGGATTTCAAATGGTAAAGAGCTGACCTCTAGCTTTGTGTTTGCCTCTAATGATGGCTTCTAACAGTGCTACCTGCAGAGAATGAAAACAGTCCAATCAACTCCAGGCCGTTCGTATTTTTATCATAGAGATCATATCAGAATCCCCGTCCTCCCCTCCTTGGCACAGAAATGCGGTGGACTATCTAATTATCTCAAGGATAAAGTGTGATTTACTTAAAACAAATCTTTCTCTAGCAAAATGACAAGAGTTCCGTGAATCTTTTCTTTCAGGTGAATCTTCTGCTCCAACCATTTCGAAGATAACGTGGTAGCTCCTTATTCCTGCTAAGATATTTATGCCTTGCTTAATTTGACAGCTCCCTATGACACCTCTGCATGGGGAACATGAGGGAAATAAGTGTTCTGTCAAGTGCCTCTAGTAATATTTCTGGTTTCTCTCTTTCAGCTTTTGTATGACATGAATGACTTTCTTTATAAATCATGTAAATTGTAGCCTGTTAATGGGTACTTAGGTATTACGGACATCTCATATCATTATTTCATATATTCTTTTGCAAAACATTTGCAAGAGGGATAACGGTGGAACCTTTAGTGAAAAATGTGACCAATTTTCTGCCCCATCAGTTGAAGCTTGGTTTGCTTTAAAAGCAGTGCTGAGCCATTGTCCTCCATTCCCTCCAGCCACCATTCATTGCTGAGAGATTGATGAGCTGCAATGGGTTGAGATATTTTATTTAAGACCCTGTCTTTAACCATATCCCTCTCCTTTCAGGAAGCTGTAGTAAGCACCTGGATTCAGTTCAGTGACAGCTCTGTTACTCCGCTGGACATTTATGACTCTAAGGACTTCTCCCTTTCTGCTGTATCATTAGACGAAGCTGTTGTCTCGATCCACCAGAACGCTGCCTTAAAATGGCCCGTTGTGGCAGCAGAAGGTGAAGGTCAGGGCACGTTAATCAAGGTGGACATGATGATTTCTGAAGCCTGCCAAAAGTCCAAGAGGAAAAGTGTCCTGGCTGTGGGGAATGGCAACATCAAAGTCAAGTTTGGGCAGAACGATGCAGACTCCGATACAGGTGGAGATTATGATGCTGATGAGATTGAAAACCACGCAAGTGACCGGCGGCACAAAGTGTCAGATCAGGAACGCTATGGCCAGGATGGACGATACTATGGTAGCTCTTCAGCAGAACGAGAGGAAGGCGCCGTCAGAAAAGTCAGCACCACAGCAAAATCTGTCATAAAAAATAAAGTCATTAAAAACAGTAGGCTGGATGGTGGCAAACTCTCAGATGATAGCCAGCTGCAGAACATTCCTATTGACTTCACCAACTTCCCTGCTCAAGTAGACCTACCAAAAGGCAACACAGGCATGGAGGAGAATGACCTGGTGCAGACACCCAGGGGCCTTAGCGATCTGGAGATTGGGATGTATGCTCTGCTAGGGGTCTTCTGCCTGGCAATTCTAGTCTTCCTAATAAACTGTGCAACATTTGCACTGAAGTACCGGCACAAGCAGGTTCTGGTGGAAGGACAGGCCACCATGACCCATTCTCATGACTGGGTCTGGCTGGGAAATGAAGCAGAACTGCTGGAGAACACAGCAGATGCATCACCTCAGCAGGATGAGCACACAACTATTATTGACCGAGGCTCGGGTTGCGAGGAGAGCAACCAGCTCCTCAATGGCAGTGCTCAGAAGAACATTCAGAGCCAGGTCCACAGGTGTGCTGACTCAGGGGGCAAGCTCAGAAAAGAACAGAAATCTGAACCTTTACATTCACCGACGTCTAAACGGAAGCGGGTAAAATTCACAACATTCACTACCATCCCACCCGACGATGGCTGTCCTACTGTCAACTCAATCCTAAGTAGCAATGACGATGACATTAAGTGGGTGTGCCAGGATATGGACCTGGGGGACTCCAAAGAGATACGAAACTACATGGAGAAGTTCAAAGACAAAGTATAGCTCCTTGCTGGTTTTTTGGGTTTAACCACACCTTGATGCCTTCAGTTCTACAGTATATATTGGGACAGAAGAGGGGGAGGGGAAGCAATCACCAGGAGAAACGATGAGGCAGTTTTTATAATCAGGGAAAGAAATTTGCCAAACTGTCCACGGTATGGTTTCGGTTTTCACTTTGTTTTGTGTTTTCAGCAGTTACTCTGCTACTCACGGATTTAGGAAGTGGAATATAAATAGCAGAAAGGAACAAGGAAACGATATGACCATTATGATGAACTGGGCAAGATGAGGTTGTGAAAGTTTGTTTTATGGGTCATACAAATAATAATGATAGTCATGTTTCAAAGTACCAAAAATATTTGGAAAAAGAAAAAAGAGAATATAAGAGCATGAAAAGAATGAGCAGGATATAAACAGTAACTTGTCTGTATTTCTAATAAAACATCACAATTATGAACACATGACCCACAAGGAGACTTTTTAGATTGGTACTCAAGCCGTTTCTTTTTTATTCCTTCATTTGAAGTGAAGATATGTCTTTGGCATTACATATGAAGGAGGAAGAAATTACCTGTTATTTTTATTTTTACTTTTCTGTTTGTCTTGTAAGTTGAAACAGAATAATTGTCCTTGTATTTTTCTTTTCAGTATCTTGAAAACGGGAAAATTTCAATTCATTAAGTTCACAGTGGACCAATTACATTTTGTTTCTAAGTTAGATATAAATACTCTCCTGTCATTTAAAGAATTCAAAGGATAAGTATTGACTAATAATTTCCATGTGGTGTCTCTTCTGAAAGCCCAAGCCTCCATTGTGTCACCCCAGCTAGAAACATGTTCTGTTTGGAAGAACTATTCATTTCATTTTAAAGTTTGGATTTTTTATTTAGCTGTTTGTTTTAAATTTCCAAAACCAAAGTTCCCATCTTTCACCAAGGGAAGAAGGTGCTGTTTTCTGTTAGCTTTTAGAAGTCACAACCAATGGGAGCGCCCCACTGGTGCATTTTAAATGTACCTGGAACTGAGACCATCACAGGCCAAATATGTACAGCCTGGATTTTGTGTTCTTTTGCTAAGTCCATGAATTCATAATTTTGTGCTGTGATTTTCTGTTTTTTCTAATGTCACCAGCTCTCATCAAGCTCTGAAAGCAAGAAGAGGAATGGACAGAAAGACACTGATTGTCCCCAAACTTTTATTACCTTATACTGGGAGATCTGGCCTCTGGACAGACTCTGGAAAGGGAGGGAATTATTGCTGAAGCAAGATCAAGAAATATCTGGAGCTATTTTAGAGATTTATTTTTTTTTGCCACTGGACCAGCTAAGACTGAAAATTTTAGACCAGATCGTAAAGCTCATGTTTTGAATAAACAAACACAAAACCAGTAATAAATCTGAAGTAAATACAAAATAGAGTCATAAGTTCATTGTGTAAACTGGCAGAACTGTGTTGAGTCAGTGCCTGTTTACACCAGTGGAAGACACAGATCAAAATCTATACAATGAGGAAACTACTGTCATCGAAAACCTTTTGTAACTGAAAGGAAGATGGTATATCCAGCCTTTTGGAAAGCAGTATTATGTCCTGACTGTTACCCGGAAGCACTTGCATTGTCCTGTCTTTACCATGTATTTCTTTTTTTCTTTTTTTTTTTATTACTAAACTCTGTAGTTTGTTTTGTTGGTTTTTTTTACTTGGAGAAAATCAATCCTGCCACCCAGTAACATAGATGGACGTTTTAACAAGATATGCCTAGTATGCATTGTAGACTGAAAGAATGTAATATTTATTTATACATGTTATACGAATTGTAATTAAAATGCTTTACATGGCTTGACAAATTAACCTCTCTTTTCTGAGGGGAGGGGGTCCTGTCATTTCTGCATTGAGGTACTGCATCCGCTGTGTAACGGCTAAAAGAAAATTTAAGCCGCTTTCTGAAGAGGAAAAGAGAATAGAGATGCGTGAAAGTTCTCACTGCTTTGATCCTTCTTTTTTAAAGGCGCTTCCCCTTCCCACCCAATACGTGGTGATGGTGATGGATGGCAGGAGAAGACGGCAGCCAGGCACAGTTCAGGGCAGTGTCACTGTTCATCTTGTTCATCTTTGTGCCTACCATCAGCACGAACAACTCCAGGACTCTTCCTTCTGATGTGTGCAACTTTTGCGCAGCCCAGTCATAATTAATTATGTTGCTTCCCTGATTGATACAGTAGGCTCAGATGGAAGCAAGTTTCACTGAATCACAACTGACATGTACAAAGCACCCTGTATCCCAAAGGACCCCAAGCTACTTTACAAGCTAAGCACAGCAATGCATCAGCCACACCTCAGGGATCAGTATATCTTCCTGGGAAAACGCAGGTGTCTCTGAGGTGAAAAAGGCATTTGCAGCTGCAAAATGCAAAGGCGAAGCAACAAGAAAAATAGCGTGCAGCAAAAATAATACACCGCAGTAGCACAGAACGTAATTGTTGAAAGTGCGTTTTTAGGAAGGCTGTTGGTGTGCTGAGCTGTTACAGCACATCTGGAGAACGGCATCTCCAGTAGCCCAGCGCTCCCGAGCACTCTCTGGGATACTGGCGCAGCACTTGGCTGAAGGGGAAAGGGTTAATTACTAAATCACTGTTTCTAGTGGTGCACCCTGACTTTCCTCTTTGCTTTTAGCAACTGAGGCTCTGCAGGATCAGAAGAGAAAAGAGTATCTCCAGCAAACATAACAAATGGCTACTGAGACAAAACCTCGTAAGGAGAGTTCCTCGTACTCTGTATTTTCCTGCCGACGCGCGTGTATCTTTCTTGGTCTTGCTGCCTCACTGCATTGTCTAAGAAAAGTATTCCACAGTGAATGAGAACATTATTGTTAATTCACCTCCTCTCCAAAAGCTCAAGTGCCTTTTTGAAGAAAGAAAAACACGTCTTCTTTGAAATTAAGAGGGGAAATCAAAGCTTCCCGCGAGAAACTATTTTGTAATTCCTTTTCAAAAACAGTGATGTAAATTTTTTTTGAAAGATACATTTCTGTATTAATGCAATGCAGCTTGGATTCAACATTCCCAAAGAGGAGCTGAGCTCTTCTGTTACGAATATGAAAATTACAGCTTATTCACTGTTTCAATATTCATTGAAATAATCACTATTTTTTTCTTTTTGTTGCTGACTGCATGCATAGTTCTTTGTTGTCTGTAGGTTCAGACTTAAGCAGTTTATTTGAAATAACTACCCTCTAGGAAAAAAAATTATTATACAGTGATGATCGCCGTGGCATTGGCCAATACACCCACGATGCCTCCTTGGGAGCAAGATCTCATTGATGATTTTCCATGTTTCAGGTCTCAGTGACAGCATTTTGTCATTATATTTGCATTAGAAAATCTAGTCTCTCTGGAGTCTCTCCAGAGTGGGTGGTTTCAGGGGCTTGCACATGTAGAGGCCATTGACTGCAGCCTGTAAGGCTGGGTTGGACGCTTGCCATTCATAAATGCATACGGCGTTTTACACACGCTGCAGATTACCATGGACATTTGTTACAGTTCTGACTTACTCTTTGTCCTGTCTGTGCCATAGTAATCACTTTGCAAACTCTGATAATCACGTACAACTGCCACCATGAGCACGTGCATGGCCAAAGGGAGAGGCTTAAGCAGGAGGAGTCAGTGCTTTCCCAAAGCAAGTTAAATGGCACTGTGACATCCCTGAAGCACATAAAATGGTTTTCTCTGGTGTGTTTTTACTAAAACGTGCCTGTTACTAATGTCTTTTAGTTCCTGAGTTATCAGCTAATGGATTTCAGCTGATCTCCACGTTGGCAACACAGTGGGGTTTTAGAGCTGTAAGAGGAAGACCTGGCGTGCTGCCTATTGTAATATGACACGATACCACAGCAAAGATGTGTTCTGTGCCATGTATGTGATAGTAGTTGAAATGTGGAAGATATGTACAGAGAGGGCACGACATATTTGGCAATGGGGAGCAACATGTTGCGGGGAGGAGGACCCAGGAAGCTTGGCCAGTCCCAAAATCCTGCTTCAACTGTTTTGTTAGTCACAACTGCAGCATTTCTGTCAAGATCCACACCTGCTGGAAATCTGTGCATCTCCATTGAAGCCGTCTGGTACAGCCATGCTAATGGACTTGTCATTTAATATGTATGAGAAGTCCCTGACTCTTTAGGAAGAGTTTTGCTTTGCTGTAAGATAGAACTGAATGTGTATGCTTCCTGGGATGAGGAGTTGGCCTCTGCCATGAAAATGGGGAGACATAAGGCTACCAGGGGTGTTTGGAAGGCTTGGGCAGGATGGAGGCAATGCCTGCCTCTCCTGGCACAGCTTGCTCTCTTCATCAGCTGCAGGAATTGTTTCATGCATCTTGATATTTCTTTTACCAACATCCGCCAACCTGCCTGTTTAGGTAAAAGGTCTCCTGCTATTCCCAGCAGCCTGTGGCTGTATGTACCTGCTGCCTAGGCCTGGCTGCAGGGGCCTTGCTTTCCTTCCTGGACAGCTTGGCACTGAGCTCCTCTGTGCCCTGTGTAGGTCTCTGTCATGGTTTAACCCCAGCTAGCAGTTTGGCCCCTCAGCTGCTTGCTTCCCGCCCAGTGGGGTGGAGGAGAGAATCAGAAGAGTGAGAAAACTCATGGGTTGAGTTAAACGCAGTTCAAAAGGTAAAGCAAAAGCCCTGCACACCAGCAAAGCAAAACAAGGGATTCCTTCACCTCTTCCATCACAGGTGGGTGTTCAGCCGTCTCCAGGCGTGCCGGGCTCCGTCCCATGTAACAGTGGCTGGGGAAGACAAACGCTGTCACTGCAAACGTCCTGCCCCACCTCCTTCTCCTTTTCCCATCTTTACGTGCTGAGCATGACACTCTCTGGGCTGGAACATCCCTTTGGCCAGGTGGGGTCAGCTCTCCCAGCTGCATCCCCTCCGGGCTCCCGGTGCAGCCCCAGCCCACTGGCGGGTGATGTGAGGAGCAGAAGGGGCCTCGGCGCTGTGCGACTCCC